TTTTTTTTAATAACTTAACGTCATATTCAGCACAACTCCTTTTAAAGATTTTCTCCTTTTACTGTTTGTTTTTAATTACAGATTTGCTTGTTCTTTCCATAACCTCCATTTCTGCTTTCATTTCCTGTTGAATCTGTTCTTAAATTTCCTTTCTTCAGCAAGTTTAACTCCTATGTTGCCTCCCGGCAGTTTGTCATACTGTTCTGATAACGTTCGCTGAATTGAGGAGCTATAATCTTGACACTGTTGCCATTGGATTTTAGAGCAGGCAGCAGTATGTTTATGCAGCAAAGGGTGCTCATGCATCTTCTGGGCTAAATAAAGAGTCAAATATTGCATCAGTTTTGCCCAGTTCGCTTTGCGAAGTCTCATTCTACAGCTGATGCTCCTGTGAACCTAAAGAACAAAAGCGGATGTAATTGTAATAGTCCTTAAATTCAATGAGTCTTACAAGACCCCTCATGCTTGTAAGTATTCAGAATTTCATTCACCTTTGAAAGCCTGAATCAATCCTAATGATATTAAACAGAGAAATGCACAAAAGTTCGTATCTGGGATGAGATTTTTTTTGTGTGATAAATTTATCTTTTTGCAGATAAACCTTGTGATTTGCCACACATAGAAAATGGAAAGATTGCCCAATACTATTATAATTTCAAAAGTTACTATTTCCCTATGCATAAGGGAAAAAAAATTTCCTATTCTTGTACGGTTGGTTATACAACTGAAACTGGAACTCAAGAGGGAAGAATAACTTGTACAGCAACAGGATGGTCTCCAGTGCCACAATGCTACAGTGAGTTAGCTTTATTAATCTCATCATGGCTTCTAGCAGGAAAGCAGGGAACTTTTCTAGCTGGATTCCCTGGAACATACAGTAACAGAAGCTGCCTAACAGGATACAAACTACGTATGTTTATACTATGGGATATTCTTACAATACTACATATTTTAAGGGCTTTTGCCATATGTGTTTTTATAAGAACACCAAGAAAGTTGCCCAGTTTCCTTATTTTGGGAAAACTAATACATAGTTTCCCCTCAGAAGTATATCCTCCAAAGCCCCCCTGGCTCCAGATTCCTTGGTTGTTGTGCTCCGTGTTATTACCATTTGTTTGATCTATTGTTTGATGATTGTGGCAGTTTCTTCAATAGGTCAAGAAAACAGGATTAGATCAGGATTGCTGAAAACCCCCTTCTTTTGCTTATCAGAGAACAAAAATATTCTGTTAGTTCTTTTGTTCTAACCAAGCTGTTTCCTTTCATTTAGAAAAATGTAACAAGCCTCTTCTGGAAAATGGCTCTTTTTATGGTACAGAAATGTACTTCAAAATACATGAGAAACTGCAATACAAATGTAATTCAGGCTACCACACTCCAAGTGGTGGCACTGACGACACAGTACAATGTCAGCCAGAAGGATGGTCCTCCCAGCCCAGCTGTACTAAAAAGTTTGGTAGGATTCTGCATTTTTTCTTCCTTTATAATTTGTCTTGTATGTATATAATATTACTGTCCTTGCTGTATCTGTAGGGCCAAACTGCCTATGTCAGGTTATCATTTGAGTGCTCCTAAAGTACGTTCTCAGCTGTACCTCATGGGAAGAAGCTGTCAGATTTCATATGCTGCTGGTTTGGTGAATTTCTATAGATAGAATTACATGCTGAAGGAATCAGTATAGATGAAATCGCATTATTTCAAGTAAATCCATTGCCATCCAAACTTTCTTCCCAAATGATGACTGGAAAACTTGTGTAAACTACTATGTTTTAATTAATTATTTGCAAACATTTTGCCTTGGATGTGACCACTTTTAAGGTATTTCTAAGGAAAATTTTAAAATAATAACTTGAAATGAAAAGAGCAATTATTATTATGCATTTGTTTTATTTATTTAAGAGTCGTGTCAAATACCAAATTTACATCACGGCAGCTACTCCACAGCCCAACAAGAGCTTCGACTGAATGAAACAGTGCTATACAGATGTGATGAGGGATATCGTACCGCACAAGGAAACACTACAGAAGAAGCAGTGTGTCTAACACACGGGTGGTCCCTTACTCCAAACTGCACTAGTATGTAATGGACTGGAAAAGAATTCTCTTTGAAATGTGATTTATTCTACAAATGAACAAAAATTTGCAAAATGGCTTGTTTTATAATCTGGTGGGGGGTGTGTGTGCTTTCTCAGCTGGTTTTCAGTGCTGTGTGTTTTCTTCCTAGAAATAACTTGCTCCTCTTTGAGTGCAGTAGCACATGGAAGTTTTTATCCTGTGAAGAAAATCTATGAAGAGGGAGATGTAGTTCACTTTTTCTGTGAGGAAAACTATTCTGTCAGTGATTTTGACCTAATTCAATGTTATGATTTTGGATGGTATCCAGACCCTCCAGTGTGTGAAGGTACCTTATTTTTATAGTTGTACTATGTCAAATTCTTAGTGAAAGACTAGCACCTTCTCTCATGAAATGCTTTATGAATACAAAATAAAAATATGCTTTTTGTACCAGTTCACATCCTAAATAGAAATTAAGTATCAGCTGAAGGGCATGGAGCCAAGGTAGCAGGGGGGGAGGATAATTGGAATTAGTTTTCAGTAGACTCTAACAATAGAGCAGATGCTGTCTCTAGCTGTTGTTTCTCTGTACGTTGTATCCTGGAGAAGCAGGAAACAACAGTTACAGGAAAAGTGTAGATGTGACACTTCAGGACATGGTCTAGTGGGCATGGTGGCGCTGGGCTGATGGTTGGACTTGATGATCTTAGAGGTCTTTTCCAACCTTATGATTCTATGAAAGTTGTTCAGCCCCTGAAGCTCAAGCTAAACCCTATTTAGATTACATGAAGGTTTAATCAAGCATGTTTAATCCTGCTTGTGAGGTGGGAACTTGGTTTTTCAGAAGCATTAAAAATAAAATTTGTAACAACCTTTTCCTGAGCTTGAGCGTTCTGATACTTTTCAGAGTTTTACAGCCTCACCAAACTGTATATGTTTTCAACAGAATTAACTAGAAAGGTCATCCTGAGGACAGAAACACACCTTTAACCATCATTGTCACTTCCCTGGTCATTGGGGGATAATGGAGATTCTCGCAAAAGAAACTTTCAAAGAATGAAAGGTCTAGTGAACCAGATGAGATAGAGTATACAGCAGAAAACAGTATTAATCAAGATTTAGGCTAGCTGAGAATTTACAATAATGTTCAACATACCTTAATAGTTGTGGGTCATTGTCTTACCTGGATATTGTCCCCTTTATGAGGATTATTTCTGAGCTTTAGATCTCACTGCTTCATGGTAACAAATTTTCTGCTTTATATACAAGAAATACCAGGCGTCGATGACAGAGGACGGGACAATCAATCATTTTTATTGGCTTAAGCTAAAACCATGGTATTCTTTCCCAATATATTTGTACAGGAATTCTTCCTGCAAAGTATGTTTGCTAAAGCAAATTTAATAATTGTTGTGGGGGGGGTGCTTGAGGTTAAAAAAAAAACTTATATTTAGCCTTTAAAAAATACAAATACGTTAAACACAAAATTAGCGTCTTGTAGTTCTTTTATGGCTAATCTTGTAGATGATTATGTGATTGAGTACAAACATAAAATTAATCTTCCTTTCCTGGAAGATACAGTAGCATTTAAAATGCACTAAAATCTCTCAGTTAAATGGCATGTGTTAGGACCCCAGCCCTGTATTATTCTGATGACACAGCAAGGATTTTTCTTGAGTGAGTGCAGAGAAGGTGGGGTGCTCAGAAGAATGAACACAAGGCCTAAACCTAGTTTTGAGGATACAGTAATTTCAAACTTAATTTGGGGATAGGAAACGGGCTATGATTATTATCTGTACCATTAGAATTAATACATAAGCTGCTTTAAATATTGTATCAATGGAAGGTACGGAAAATCTCTATTTCCTGAAGTCCTTTAATGAACATTTTATTAAGTCTATGTGGAGAAATTACAAATTTGTTTATAGCAGCGCAATAGCATAATACCTCTATTCTATATTTGTTGAATGTAAAATCACTTTTTTTGTTCTGGTCTCCCATTTTGTTATGAAAATAGGAGTAAGAACTTACTTTGGATCAATCAAAAATGTCTGAGTGATATGCTTGCATGAGGTATAGTAAAATTAATTGTGTACATGGTTTTGATTAGGGAGAAAACAGTATGCACTTTTTATTTTCAGATATAAAAAATAAGTGTCCTCCACCACCGCTTCCTCCTTATGCCCATATCATCACAGTTAGAAGAACATATCGCAATGGAGACAAAGTTCATGTACAGTGTCAAAGTACCTTTGAAATAAGAGGATCTGAGGAAATCCAGTGTGAAAAAGGAAAATGGACATCACCCCCTGTTTGCATTGGTTCGTACTTTTGTGAAGACTGACAACTGAACAGAAATGATTTTTCAAACAATGCCTTAATTTTCTGGAAAGCCTCAGTTTCCTTAACTGGAAAATCGTTTATGTCCTCCTCTGTTAAAATGCTTGGGAGGTAAAATGCTGCATAATTTGCCGACACTCTGTTGTTCACAGATTAAAAAGACAGGACAAGCTAGGTGAATTCAACTGACACCCGTGTTGTGTAGTTCTCCCCTGGAATATTGATTTTTATTACATCTTACAACACATCAGTGCTGACTGTTTCCGTATTTGAAAATGAGCCATTTCTGGGAAAACCAGTTCTAAGTTTCTGCTGTGTTTATAGGAACTATGGATAAATGGGAATCTGAGGCACCATCACCACCCGAGGCAGATGCAGCAATAAGGGCAAGCAAAACATATCGCAATGAAGACATGAGTAGGTGAACGTTGCTTTTCTATTTAAAAGGGACTTCAGTACTCTCTGATGCTATTATAGGCATGTTACGACTACTCTTACTACTCTTTTGCTATTATGACTACTCTTACTACTCTTTTGCTAGAGTACAGTTCCTTACTCTTGAAAATATTTGCACGTGCTACAATGTGGCAGTCTGAATGAATGAAAGGCCATAGTCCAGCGATACAAGTATTACCTATAAACCTGTTCTGTATTTGTAATTTTATTCCATACATTAGCATTTACCTTCAGTCATTTTGTACCCCTTCTGTTAATGTTTTCTGAACATGCAAATTCATGAGTCTTTTGCTGATCCTTTGACTAATAGTTCCAGTGAGGTTTCTTTTGTTTATTTTGAACCATACATGGGCTAAGCAATTCAAACAACAAATAAAGACTGTCTCATCACAAAAATAAAAAATAAAAAAAATCTATATTGAGTGTAAACCAGCAACAGTAAAGAGTAGACATAGATGAGGACTGTAGCTGGAAATAGAATGCCTGTCTGCAATTCAGTAAGGCAAATGCAGAGTTTCTGAAAACAAAATTATATTGGTTTATATTTTATTTATATGTAAATTTTTTTGCTCAGACTATTATTATTCTGATACTTTTGCCAGTGTTAACATTGTTTTAAAAATCTAATTACCGCTCTCCCTACCTTATGTTAGAAATGCAGAAAGACTGTACCTCTCCACCTGTGATTAAAAATGGTGTTGTTCTTGGTCCAGTATTGAAAAGTTACCAAAATGGTTCCTCAGTAGAATACAGTTGTCAGCATTACCATTTTATGGATGGACCTAGTACTGTTTACTGTAAAGAAGGAAACTGGACAGAACAACCAACTTGCTTAGGTAAGTCTTGTGTGAGAAAGAAAGTTTTGTCGTATGAAATACAGAAAGGTAAAGCTGGAAAGAATCTCTAGATAATCGTTTCATGACCATCTTTTCTCTTTCTTTTTAGTTAATAAATATTCCAGAAACATGAGGCTGGACCAAATCAAATATACCTAGGCTGTTCCTGCTAGGTGTCCTCTGGCCTGTTCTTAACAAACACCCAATTAAATACATGCCTCTGTTTTCCTGAGTGAGCTATTCTAGAACATACCTATCCCTTTTACCTGGGAGGATTCTCTAACTTCTTTCTTCCATACTCTCCATTCAGTGAATTTCTTCCTGTCCTTCAATAGGCGTTTAGAAGGAACGACCGCAGCCATTGCTAAAATGGCTTTTAGATATGATTATCGAGGAATACAATGACTTCTTGGACTTTCATTTTAAAATCTCCAGCCTTTGGTTTTATTATGTGGTTTTATATCTATCATTTCATTCTGGACTTTTTCATTTTTTCGTGTTGCTTTTATGTATGCTGTTCAAAACAATGCATAGAACTTCCATTAGGAATTTACCAATACTAGCAGGAATACTACTGATGATGATCTACAAGAGTTGTTTATCTTTCCTTCCTCCCTAAATATAAATAATTCTATTTTATTAGCATCTTTTATTAAATTGTCTTACTCTAGGTTTGTAATCTCTGTGAAAATGCAAATAACCCATTCAGGTTTAATTACTTACTTCTAAATTAATAAAACGTACTTCAGCTGGATTGAAAGGTCCAGATCAGCATTCTTGAATCTGAATACTCAAATTTAACAAACCCTGTGAAGTAATGAAAACTCATTTCCTATGAGCATTATTTGTCTCCTAAGCATCCAAATAACCGCATCAACTTCTACATGTTTTCCGAGACTTCTTTTCAACCCTCACCTAATCAGATCAGAAAGAACACATACTGTAGTTAGTTTCAGGAAAATATCCATACTAATTTGTTGTTATGGTGCTGTCATCAGAATGCGTAATAACTCATTTCTCCTTGCCTTTCCCTCAGCGAAGCATTAATAAGCGCCTCTATCAGGCAATGATTCTTGTGGAACTTGTGGAAATGTGTTTTTGTATTTGTCCCTCTGTCAGGCTTTACAGAAGTTGAACAGTGGTTTCAACAGTCAAATGAGGTTAACTGTCAAATGGAAAGCTAAACTACCTGATGTGATCCTGGCACTAAATTTTAAGAAACCTGTCAGCAATCAAAGCAATAGTGGCCTTGAATAACTAGAAAAAGCCCAAAGAAAAACACAGAACTTCCAAGTTCTTGTCGTCTTCTTGGTGAACCCAGGCTGCCGTATGTTTACAAATACTTGTGGAAACCAGATTTTGTCAGAAGTGTGTTTTCTGTAATTTACTGTTCCCAGTTTAGGCTTTTTTTCTTTTTTTTTGCATGTTATTTCTGTTACTTCAGCCCATTTCTTTACATTTGCATTATTCTTTTTATGCATCTGTAGTTCTTTTTCTTGCAAGATTCAAAAACATTTTAGAACTATTGATTCAGATTCTCTTTCTTAACTCCTACAAAAGGAGCTAAGAAATCACTTAAGGTTGCTTTTTATTGAAGTACCCTTTTATTTCCTAGAACCATGCACTCTTAATGTAACTGATATGAACAGCAACAACATAGACTTGAAATGGAGACAGGAAGTATTAATATTCCTACATGGTGATCTCATAGAATTTGAATGTAAACAGGGATACAATTTTCTCCAGACTACCACTCCATCTCCTGGGAGGACACAGTGTAACCAGGGCAGACTGAAATATCCAAAATGCATTAAGAAAGGTAAAACAATACTACTTTTTTTTTT